TGTATGCAGAACCGGAAATTCCGGTGGAAACATCTCTCCGGTGCCGGCAGCATGTGATTTTAACCACTTGGTACTGGCGCCTCCCGGCCCTTTAAGAGTTTCCGAAGCCGGGAGGCGGGTGGGGTTTTAGGGTCAGGTGACCACTGTGATTTGACGTTGCAGCGGTCACATGATCGGAAAAGGTCGCGCTCGCAAGGGGAGATCGGCACCTTTCTGTGAGTCACGGACATGTGTGCTGGGAGCGCACTCGGCGCGCGCTCTCAGCACATATGTATTTTCTAATTGCACGCAAATAAGCAGCCGCTTGGCGTCAAGGCCCAGACACCGAGAGGCCGCATATTTGCGTGCGCTTGGCTTCAAGAGGTTAAAGAATATCTAATGCCAATTTTTGGATACAGTAATGAACGGTTAGAACCCATTTTTTCCCCATTTGTGTCCAACTGAGGTTTCCTTTTACTTACTTTTCTGCAGACACAGCAGGCAGGTGAAGAGTCTCTCAAGGGAGGGAAAGCCCCTCTTAGGCTCGGTTCACACCTATGCAGGTTGCGGTTGAGCCATTTCTGCATTGCGTTGCATTTTTGCCCCTGCGCATTTAATGCAGTTTTTTTTTTTTTTTTCCTTGTTGCTAGGCAGATTTAAAAACGTATCAAAAACGCACTACGTGCTTTTCTGCAGTGTTTCCATTGAAGTCTATAGAACCAAAAACTTAACTTTTTGCATTCAAAAAAAGTCCCCGAGCCTTTTGAAAAAAATGCACCAGATGAAAACGCAAAGATGTGAACCCGTCCCATAGGAAATCATGTGAAATGGACTGTACTGAATGCAAAACGCTTAGGTGTGAACCTGGGTGAGCGATCACTGAAACCAGTGTTCCCATTAGAATAATTCCCCCCTCAACTTCCAATCCCAGTGACAACGATCGCCAGGACAAGACGGGATTTCCTAAACAGGGATATCGGTAGCATTAAAAAAAAATTTCGGAGAAAAAATACCAAACATGTCTATACTTACCTGCGGTTTTGCACAGAGCAGCCTGCATCCTCTTCTCAGGTTCCCTGCAGGCGCTCTTGGCCCCTCCCTCCTGTCAGGTGCCCCCACAGCAAGCAGCTTGCTATGAGGGCACCCAATGCTCCGTGTATTCATTCACACACAGAGCAGAAACTTGCTCCCCCCCCCCTTCTTATTGGCTGTGATTGACAGCAGTAGGAGCCAATGGCTCCTGCTTTTGTCTCAGCCAATGAGAAGAGGGAGTCCCGGGATAACCGAGACTCCTGTGCACATCGCTGAGTTGAGAGGGGGCTTAGGTGAGTATTGGGGGGCTGCTGCACAGAGGTTTTCTTTACCTTCATACATAGAATACATGAAGATAAAAAACCTTGAGCCTTTACAATCACTAAATACACTTTATGGCCTCTTTCACATAGTGGACTTTATCCAATCCCGATGAAGATTTCACATTTGGCAAGCACTTGTGGCGCTGTCACATTGAATTCAATGGGCGCATGTGGCAAGCAGAATGCCTGCCCAGTGTGACACTGAGTTAAAGTGAATGTAAACCTCAGACATGAAATATGAGCAAAGCATACCCCTCTATAGTGTGTACTTTCCTTAATCCAAAGCACTAAGCATCATTTCTGTCTGCTTCATCTCTGCTATCAGCATGAATCACTTCTAACAAGTTTTCCCGACATTAAGAGAAAAAAAGGTGATGGGGGGGAGTGCCAGCACACAGCCTGTGATTGAGAGCCTCAGTTCTGCTGCTGTGTTGAGGGGGATGTGTCTCTCCCTCCAATCAGCTCTCAAGAGTTCTCCTCACGTAGGCTCCATGTACACTGCAGCTGATAAACTGACGTTCAGGAGCTGTTCTGCGTTTTTTCAGCAGCCCCTGAACTCTCCCTAATGTTTTCCTATGTGTCCATGTACACATCGTTGTTTACAGGCAGTTGAGTTTACAGTCGTTTTTTTGAACGTATCAAACTTGCGTTCAGTAGTAGATTTTACCGACGTTTCAAATGCCAAATGCTTCTAAATGCAAATAACCGCGTTTATAAGCGTTTGCGTTTAGAAGAGTTTTTAACTGTTCCATATCCAGATGCTGTCCAGAGCCTTTTTTTATCACCAGAAAAATGCATGCAAAGCGTTTTCCATGTATTCAAATGGACCCGGTACACCAGCGCAGTCAGTTCCAGGTTTCACGTGAAGGAAAGAATGGTAGAACGTTCCGCATTATACTCATGATGGGATCCATAGTGAATACAACCAGAAAAGACAGGTCATCTCCACACATACTGCTCTGTATATTTCTCACAAAATGTCTGAAATAGTTGATTTTTTATTATTTTTTCAGTGCATTCTGGGCATTTGGGAGGGTCAACTGAGGTTATTTTTAAAAAAAACGCTTCTAAAAAGGCAAACGCACATAAATGCGGTATGCAAAAACGGCTAAACTGACGTTTTTTTAACCTACGTTTTCCAGCAGTCAGTTTCCATCGTTCAGAAGAGTTTTCCAAAACATCCTGTCTACATGGAGCCTAAGTGTGACTTCAGGTCCCTGCCCCCAGCTTTTCAGAGTCAAGAGATCCTGTGTAAACTCTGCACTTTGAATAGATTTGGGGGACGGACGACTGCAGATAAACAGGTACAACGTATGCAGGCGTTAGGAAGATTTGTTTAATTTCTGTGTATCACCTGAGGTCAAACACATCACTGGATAAATGTAAGGCATGGGTGCCCAACCTGTGGCTCTCCAGGTTGTTCGGAACTACAAATCCCATGAGGCATTACAAGGTTGACAATTACAAGCATACCTCCCAAAAGCAGGCATGATGGGACTTGTAGTTCCGCAACAGCTGGAGGGCCACAGGTTGAGCACCCATGATGTAAGGGTTTACAACCACTTTAAATTTACCATGATGGAAAGCATTGCAGTCATGGCAATGTGAATGGACAACAGCATCCATCATGTGCATCTGTAGGTAGGCAGTTGGGGGTGGTAAAAACAAAAAAAAGGATGTGGAATAGACTCCCTCAAGAGTTGGTTCTGGCCAGCTCAGTGGATTGCTGTAGGAAAGTCGTGGATTCTTTCTTGGATACACAGAATATAACTGGATATAACATTTATAGGTAAAGTTGATCCAGGGAATATCCGATTGCCTATCAGGGATCAGGAAGGAATTTTTTTCCCTGCAGGAGCAAATTGGATCGTGCTTTGCTGAGTTTTATTTGCCTTCCTCTGGATCAACTGTGGGTGTAGGATTTATGTGTATATAAAACAAAAACAAAAAAAATACAAAAACAAATAAACACAACAACATAAAAAAAAACAAAATAAAAAAAAAAACAAAAAAATAAAAAAAAAACAAAAATAAAAAAAAAAAAATATATAAAAAAAAATAAAATACAAAAAACAAACATAAAATAATAAAAAAAAAATAAAAAACAAAAAAAAAAAAAAAAAAAAAATAAAAATAAAAAAAAAAAAACAAAAAAAAAAAAAAAAAAAAAAAAAATAAAAAAAAAAAAAAAAATAAAAAAAAATAAATATACACATAAAAAAAAAAATAAAAAAATAAAATAATAAACAAATATATATAAAAAACACATATAAAAAAACAAATATATATAATACAAAATATATAAAAAAACATAAAATATATATAAATAAAAAAAAATATATATACAAAACACATATATATATACACACAATATATATATATATACAATAAATATATAAAACTAAAATACACACACACATATATATATATACACAAAACATATATATATACAAACAAATATATATACACACAATATATATATACAACATATATATATAAAACACAAAATATATATACACACACATATAAAAAAATTATATAAAAACAAAATATATATATAAACATATATATATAATACACAATATTAATATATACAAAAAAACATATATATATACACAAAAATAATAATACATACAAAAACACACAAACACACACACACACACACACACAGGAAGTTAATTTGCAGGGATTCTCTTTCACTTCCTGTTTTGGCTATGGGACAGGAAGTGAAGGTAAATCTCCCAATGGGACGCAAATGAAAAAAAATAAACTGACAGGAGTTTCTAACCATCCCTTAATCTATCCAAAATGGAAATAAAAAATAAACTTTGCCTATAGTTCTACTTTAAGATGACCCCCCCAGCTGGAGGGAGTCAATTGTTAGCTGCTCCTCTGAACACTCACACGGACACAGACCTACATAACAGTTCATGTCAAACAAAAATATGTATTTACTCCAAAGCATTGTAACCTGCACAGCTTACAAAAAAAAATCCCTGATTCCTACCGAAAAAAAAACTCATTCCTGCGTATAAAAAAATAGAGAAACACGATATTTAGACTGAGTACAATAATAAAAAGTAATATATTGCTGCTGTTTACAGTTTTTTTTTTCCACCTCGGCATGAAAAGGCAAATAAAAACCTAAAAAATTAAATGTTCTAGTATAAAAGACTGTTACAAGCTTAGGAAAATACCAGCGCAATATAGTGAACGGTATATAAATTATTAAATCCCACTAAGAAACCGAGGAGCGGCGACATGGATGAGCTGCGGGGTGACAAAAAGTATGGGTGAGGTGAGAAGTTTGTCTTCAAATAAAAAAAAAAACTATACTCCCCATTAAATAAAAAATTTATAAGCAGCACTTGAAGCCTATGCAGGGGGTCCGATGAATGGCTTCTGCCTAAATTGTGCTCCTGGACTATGCAGAGTGAGGAGGAAAACCACTTGCTTCTGATAAAAAAACAATGGTAATCCACACAAGGACGGGCGAGCTGGCGAACCGTCTCCAAGGGTGGCGCCATTTTCCCGTAGGTCCCATTTTCGGTGCCTCTCCACAAAAGTTTGGCTGTAGAATGTTTCTACGGTGCGACTGTGTGAGGATCATGGTCTCTAAGGTTTCCAGTCAGTCTATCTTCTCAAAACCTCAAGGGAGTCACCCCCTTATTTCTGTTCCTTCGTAGGAGCGTAATAACAACTCCAGAGGCTTGCTCACCTTCCAGTACTTCTCAAAAAAAAAAAAGCTCCAGGGTTAATGATCCATTCAGAGTCTGAGGAAGAAATAAACAGAAGAATTCATGAACTAAGGAATGATGGCCACTTGAACCTTTAGCGTAACCATTTCCCACTTTCCCTACCGCCCTATAGAACTACTGCTACAGGGCTGCGCAAAATCACGTACATATACGTGATTTGCATTAAATCCTGGTAGGGCGGCACGCATGCACACCACCCTACCTGTGCCGCCATTGGCAGCTAGGAATGTCAATCACCGGGTCCCGTCCGGAGATTCCCTACCGGCACCGGCGATCGCCATGTAAAAACTGACAGGGGAGACACCTGTGTGTAAACAACACAGGTCTCTCTCCTGCCAGCAAGGACATGCTGCTTTGTATTTCTCTGCACATCATGCCTCCCTAGTAAACACAGGTCTCTCTCCTGCCAGCAAGGACATGCTGCTTTGTATTTCTCTGCACATCATGCACGGAGGCATATGTGCAGAGAAATATAAAAAAAAAAAAGCATGTAAAAAAAAAGGAGATGAGACCTGTATTTCTTGTTTACTAAAAAAAAAAAATAAAATTGCTGCTTTGATTGCAAATGATGTGCAAAAGAAATACAAAGCACACCCAGCACATAATGTTAAACAGCATACAGCACACAGTTAACCCTTTGATCACCCCAGATGTTAACCTCTTCCCTTTTTATTAGCACTGATCACTGTATTAGTGTCATTGGGATGTCAGTGGCAGTTAGTAAGTTTTCCCCCCCAGTGTCAGACTGTCAAAAAAGTCCCGCTATATAAGTCGCTGATATGCCTTAGCAAAGACATGGAGCAGAATACATTTTGGCCTAAATTTATGAAGAAATTTGATATTTTTTTTTTTTATATTTTTTACTGGATATGTTTTATAGCAAAAATTAAAAAATAAAAAAAAAAATAGTCGGGTTTTTTTTTTGTTTACGGCGCAAAAAAATAAAAAACCGCAGAAGTGATCAAATACCACCAAAAGAAAGCTTTATTTCAAAAAAAAAAAAAAAAGGACAGAAATGTAATTTTATGTACAGTACTGCATGACCGCGCAATTGTCAGTTAAAGTAACGCAGCGCTGTATGTCAAAAAACGGCCTGGTCAGGAAAGGGGATAAATCCTCTGAAAGGAAAGCGGTTCAGACCAGGCCTATTCTGACACTTTGTTTACATGTGAAGATCAGTATTTTCAGTATTTTGTGAATATCAGGGTCCTCTGCCCTTAAAAGCATCAAACAAACAGAGATAGGGGTGATCAAATGCTTTCCCAAGCCATGCAATGGCTTGTTTACATCTGTGTGAAAACTGAAGTGACAAAACACTCTTGCTTCTGGTCTCTTATACCATAGAGATGATCAGGGATATTCCAGCCCCTGTTCCGCTCTATGATAAGCCAGCAGAAAATTCCGGCTTCAATCCTAGGCTCCCCAATGGGACAGGAGAGCCCAGGAACCATCGGAGAGCGACAGGAGTAGAGGGCACCCTTTCCTTCACTTGTAAAAGCAATCCACTGGCTATTTAGATACTAGGATTGCTTTTATAAACAACATCGCTGACTGTAAAAAAATTTATAACTGGGATGATGCCTGCAGCTCATCCCAGTAAACCACTTTTAACCTGGTGACGTACATGTATGTTAGTCAGTCTTAACCACTTCCAGTCCGGAAACTTTTACCAAACTGTGAAATCTGTATATGATACACAATCATTAACCACTTCAATACTGGACACTTTCCCCCCCTTCCAAAAAAAACACTTTCACCCCCTTTCCAGTCCCGGACACTTTCACCCCTTCCAAAAAAACACTTTCACCCCCTTCCAGTCCGGACACTTTCACCTTTCATCCCCTTCCAAAAGTCCGGACACTTTCACCCCCTTCCAGTCCGGACACTTTCACCCCCTTCCAAAAAAAACACTTTCACCCCCTTCCAGTCCGGACACTTTCACCCCCTTCCAGTCCGGAAAACTTTCACCCCCTTCCAGTCCGGACAAAACCCCTTCCAGTCCGGACACTTTCACCCCCCTTCCAGTCCGGACACTTTCACCCCCTTCCAGTCCGGACACTTTCACCCCCTTCCAGTTCCGGACACTTTCACCCCCTTCCAGTAAAAACTTTCACACCCCCTTCCAAAAAAAAAAACATAAAAAAAAAAAAAAAACCCCATATATCCAGTCCGGACACTTTCCACCCCCTTCCAGTTCCGGACAAAAAATTTCACCCCCTTCCAGTCCGGAAAAAAAAAAAAAAAAAAAAAAAAAAAAACCCCTGAAAAAAAGTCCGGACACTTTCACACCCCTTCCAGTCCGAGTACAATTTCAAAAAAAAAAAGTCCGGACACTTTCACCCCTTTGTCCGGGACACTTTCACCCCCTTCCATAAAAAAAAACTTTCAAAACCCCCTTCCTGCCCAGGCAAAATTTTCAGCTTTCAGCGCTATCACACTTTGAATGACAATTGCGCGGTCATGCAAACACTGTACCCATATGAATTTTTTTTAGCATTTTTTTGAGACAGATAAAGCTTTATTTTGGTGGTATTTATTCACCGCTGGGATTTTTATTTTTTTTTTGCTATGTAAATTAAAAAGTCCAAAAATTTTGAAAAAAAAAGTGTTTTGTTATAAAATTTTGCAAATAAATATTATTTCATCAAAAATCTTGGCCAAAATTTATTTTTAGTAAAAAAAAAAACCCAAATTAGTTTATAAAAAAAAAATTATAATTTTTAAAAAAAAAAAAAAAAAAATTTTTTTTATTACTATTTTTTTTTTTTTACATACTGTCACCCTAACAGTAGAGTGTCACCATGGTGACACACTGTACTACTTGTGTGCGGGGTGATGAAGATTTTTTTTTTTTTTTTTTTACACCCGATTGCTGTTACACCCATAAAGGCAATAATTTCTCCTCCTCTCTAGCTGCATTCTTGCACGCAGGGGGCGGAGGGAGGCCGTTTACAAACGGCCACCTCCCCTGCACTGCCACCGTCTGTCCGTTTATATACAGCGGCCGGACAGCACACACAAGCAGGGGGCGGGGAGGCTGTTTACAAACGGCCACCCTCCCCTGCACTGCCACCGTCTGTCCGTTTATATACAACGGCCGGACAGGAGGTGGTTAAAGAGTTTAAATCCGTTAAACACACCCCATGTGCATCAAAAGAAAAAGAACAGCCATGTTTATATTTTAGAATCAGTATTTTTTGCCAGAAAATGTCTTCGAACCCCCAAACATTTATTTTTATATAAATATGTATGCAAAGTGGTGTTATGATGTGAAGGGGGTGATGTAATGTAGAAGGGGGCTATATTGTATTGTAAAGTGGGGGCACTATGATATAAAGTGGGGCGCTGAGATATATTTATAACATTTGTATTGTGTTTTTTTGGATTTTTGGTTGATATTCTGTCTCTATCGTTCTAAATGTACCTATGTATAAAAATTAAAGACCCTTCATTTCTTTGTAAGTGGGGGAAAAATTTACTAAATCTGTAGAGGATCAGATCATTATTTCCCCCCACTGTACATATCCCAAAGTTGCAGGAATGATCCATTTCTCAACTGCCAACAGCATATTCTTACCGTGTATTGTCCACCGGCAGCAAGCCCCCGCGCAGATATAAATGGTGTATTGCTTCTCGCTGACCTCCCCCAGTGACACGGCCTCTGTTCCTCCCCGCTGCGCCTGTTTCCTCTAGAGCAATCCGAAGAGCCAGATACTTGGAGAGATGATCAACTGTGGCGTTTGCTGTGGTCTTTACAAACCTGCAGAGAAAACCCATCTTGTTCAGATCTATGCTGGTTAATGTCAGGATGATGCAAGGAAACAGTGACGGCTTTTGTGAGCTCTCACCTGGTTTGGCTGTAAACCGTCCTTCTCCACCAGCAATGGGTGGGCCCTGAACACCAGTTCGATTTCACTACCGGCCTCTCCCGTTCCCTGTGGGTCTGGACTTCGTACTCCACCTTCATGTGACAGATCTGGTTCTGCCCCAGAATCCTCTGAAGCTCGAGACCTCTTGCGGGATGGCCCGGCTTCCTGGGTTGCTATGTACCGATGGATTACTAACGTGAGAGCGACTGTCGCAGTTATCCTCTCCACCACTGAAAGTAGTGTTGTCTGACTCGTGGTTGGTGTTTTCTGACCCTCTGTGCCCTGATCATAGGAAGAAAGTGGATGAAAAGTTAAAGGAGGAGAAAATGGGGGATAAAATGAATCAAATACAATATATATGAACTGAAAATGTTTTGGATACATTGTGCAAATGATAAATTGGCAAATGAATAATAGTTCTGTGATCACTATTCGTGTACAGGCTGGGGTGGTCCCTGGACCAAGCCTGATTGTTTACCTGCAGTGCAGTCGGAGGAGAGGCCATTTAGCTAGGAGAGTCTGTGCCCCAGAGAAGGGAAACCAAACTGATATGAGGCATGGAGGAGATCAGCTATGAGGAAACGTTAGAGGAACTGAATTTATTCTCTCTTGAGAAGAGGAGATTAAGGGGGGATATGATCTCCATGTATAATACATAAGGGGGGATATGATCTCCATGTATAATACATAAGGGGGGATATGATCTCCATGTATAATACATAAGGGGGGATATGATCTCCATGTATAATACATAAGAGGGAGGATATGATCTCCATGTATAATACATAAGGGGGGGATATGATCTCCATGTATAATACATAAGGGGGGATATGATCTCCATGTATAATACATAAGGGGGATATGATCACCATGTATAATACATAAGGGGGGATATGATCTCCATGTATAATACATAAGGGGGGGGATATGATCTCCAATGTATAATACATAAGGGGGGGGATATGATCTCCATGTATAGTACATAAGGGAGGATATGATCTCCATGTATAATACATAAGGGGGGATATGATCTCCATGTATAATACATAAGGGGGGGGGGGGATATGATCTCCGAATGTATAATACATAAGGGGGGGATTAATGGGATATCCGGGGGGGGGGGGGATATGATCCATGTATATGGCCCGATACATAAGGGGGGATATGATCTCCATGTATAATACATAAGGGGGGATATGATCACCATTGTATAATACATAAGGGGGGATATGATCACCATGTATAATACATAAGGGGGGATATGATCTCCATGTATAATACATAAGGGGGATATGATCACCATGTATAATACATAATGGGGGATGATGATCTCCATGTATAATACATAAGGGGGGATATGATCTCCATGTATGTAGGGGGGTATGATCTCCATGTATAATACATAAGGGGGGGGATATGATCTCCATGTATAATACATAACGGGGGGGGGGATATGATCTCCATGTATAATACATAAGGGGGGGGGGGATATGATCTCCATGTATAATACATAAGGGGGGGGATATGATCTCCATGTATAATAACATAAGGGGGGGGGATATGATCTCCATGTATAATACATAAGGGGGGATCTCCATGTATAAAAAAATTACTAAGGGGGATAGGATCTCCATGTATAATACATAAGCGGGGGGGATCAGCATGTATAATACATTGGGGGGATGATCTCCATGTGTTAATACATAAGGGGGGGAATGAACTCCATGTATAATACATAAGGGGGGATATGATCTCCATGTGTAATACGTGGGGGAATGATCTCCCATGTATAATACATAAGGGGGGATATGATCTCCATGTATAATACAGGGGGATATGCAACAAAGATATTGATGCACCATGTGTATAATACATAAGGGGGATATGATCTCCATGTATATTACATAAGGGGGGATATGATCTCCATGTATAATAACATAAGGGGGATAGGAATCTCCATGTATAAATACATAAGGGGGTAGGATCTCCATGTATAATACATAAGGGGGGCACTGTGGGGATATGATCACCATGTATAATACATAAGGGGGGATATGATCACCATGTATAATACATAAGGGGGATATGATCTCCATGTATAATACATAAGGGGGGATATGATACTCCATGTATAATACATAAGGGGGATATGATCGCTAGGGGGGCTAGGAGGGAACAACAGTGCGGGGGCAGCAGCTTGGAGGGAACAGTGATGGGGAAGGGGGGGGGTGGCAGCGTGGACGGAACAATGTAGGGGGCCAGGAGGCAACAGTGCGGGGGGCAGGAGGGAACCGGAGGGCAGAATACTGGGATGTTTAGCGGTTTTGCTCTGCACTGTGGGGATGTGATCTTCTGTTCACCTGCTTGTTATGAATGGGTAGGTTGTGGCGGAACTCCGGTTGAGAAACACTGGCTTAGAGTATAGAATTAAATAGTATAGATGTTCAGATGGTTTTTTTGACAGCAGGACAAAGTCTTAAAAGAATGAAAATATCCCCTCCCATAAAATGCTCCTGCCGTCCTGTACCTGTTCATTGCTTGCATTTTAAGCCCCTCTTCAATGCTGCTGCTCAGGGCCTGTTGATTATGCAGCCGACTCAGCTTTGCCAGAACTCGATCCTGGTGGGCCTCATACTCGTCTCTGCTTGGGTAGATCTTGGAGATTAAAGCGTCAAAGTTGGGGTCTGGGCGAAGGGATCGTTTAGAGACGAGCTTCTTTCTGCATGTGGGGCATTCCTTGTTCCTGAAGAAGAAAGACACTCTGTCATGTCACTAATAGAGACGTCGCATCGATTTCTGCTATTTTCCAACATACACACAGCTAAAACCGTGTTACCAAAACGTCACTTTAATCACAAAGGTACACAATATCCAAGGCCATAAGGGAGCTCAACTGCAAGTTGAGATGAAGGAGCCGTGAGTGGTTGTGAAGAAACTGACCCGCTTCGTAGAGCAGTGACGATGCAGTCTGAGCAGAAGCGATGGAGGCACTCTTTGGTGGTCATTGTGTTCTTTAACATGTCCAGGCAGATGGGACACATGAGCTCACTGTGAAGGCTGCGTGGGGACACGGCTATCTCCGTACCATCCATGATGGCTTCCTAGGGTGACAGAGAGAAAATACGTGCTCAGAGCCTGACTCCCATGACTCAGTCATTGATGGGGTGCAGAAACCCAAGGGGGATCAGACCTGCTAGGTGTACAGGGAGGAGGGTAACCATGGGCTCCTACATGGGAGGTGCTGACCTATCCTTCCTTTTCTGTCCTAAAAACGATCGCGCCCCCCCCCCCCCCCACATATCAATGCTTCCTAATCTTTGCTCCCCACTTGCTATTTTCTATACCCCCCACCTTTTCCATTTTCTTTCTCCTACTAGTCAGACCATCAGTCTAAGGAGGCTGGTAAACCCCCTGTTGCACTTAGCCCCGATTCACATCTATGTGGCCGTGTGCGCTGCGTTTCGCACGAATGCCCATTCATTTGAATGGACTCCCGTGCCAAGCAGGGAAGAAGTCCCTACACTTCTTCCGAAAACACAGTCCGCACGGGAACCTCACTTCCCAGTACGGTTGCGCTTTCCAGTGCAGGCGGCGTGCCATTACAACTAATGGCACCAGCCCGCAGGTCCGCATTCCTCTGTGCGGGTGGTGCGGCTGCACGGATATTCGTGCGGATCCGCAGCGGCACCACCCGCACAGATGTGAACCTAACCTTAAGGTCCCTCAGGAACACACAAGAGCTACAGGCAAGGAATGCCAACCTGACAGCCTCTGCCCAGCAGTGGCAACGATAGACATCTGGCCAACGGGAACGTTTTGACCAAGCCACTACACTCTGTACAATCGCAAGTTCCCCCGATAAACGGTACAGAGAACCAGTTCTCTGCCCATCATTCTACAAGATTCCAAACATCTGCAGCACGGGGCCATTTACACACTCATTAATCCCCCTGACCTTTCTTGGAAACCTCGCCTCTCCTTTGGTTTTGTTTATATGTTAATTTACAGTGGGGCAAAAAAGTATTTAGTCCCCACCAATTGTGCAAGTTCTCCCACTTAAAAAGATGAGAGAGGCCTGTAATTGGCATCATAGGTAGACCTCAACTATGAGAGACAAAATGAGAAAACAAATCCAGACAATCACATTGGCTGATTTTGAAAGAATTTATTTGCAAATTAATGGGGAAAATAAGTATTTGGTCACCTACAAAACAAGCAAGATTTCTGGCTCTCACAGACCTGTACCTTCTTCTTTAAGAGGCTCCTCTGTCCTGCACTCATTACCTGTATCAATGGCACCTGTTTGAACTTGTTATCAGTATAAAAGACACCTGTCCACACCTCAAACAGTCACACTCCAAACTCCACTATGGTGAAGACCAAAGAGCTGTCAAAGGACACCAGAAACAAAATTGTAGACCTGCACCAGGCTGGGAAGGCTGAATCTGCAATAGGCAAGCAGCTTGGTGTGAACAAATCAACTGTGGGAGCAATAATTAGAAAATGGAAGACATACAAGACCACTGATAATCTCCCTCGATCTGGGGCTCCACGCAAGATCTCACCCCGTGGGGTCAAAATGATCACAAGAACGGTGAGCAAAATCCCAGGACCACACGGGGAGACCTAGTGAATGACCTGCAGAGAGCTGGGACCAACGTGACAAAGGCTACCATCAGTAACACACTACGCCGCCAGGGACTCAGATCCTGCAGTGCCAGACGTGTCCCCCTGCTTAAGCCAGTACATGTCCGGGCCCGTCTGAAGTTTGCTAGAGAGCATTTGGATGATCTAGAAGAGGATTGGGAGAATGTCATATGGTCAGATGAAACCAAAATAGAACTGTTTGGTAGAAACACAACTCGTCGTGTTTGGAGGAGAGAGAATGCTGAGTTGCATCCAAAGAACACCATACCTACTGTGAAGCATGGGGGGTGGCAACATCATGCTTTGGGGCTTTTTTCTCCGCAAAGGGACCAGGACGACTGATCCATGTACAGTACAGAATGAATGGGGCCATGTATCGTGAGATTTTGAGTGCAAACCTCCTTTCCATCAGCAAGGGCATTGAAGATGAAACGTGGCTGGGTCTTCCAACATGACAATGATCCCAAACATACCGCCCGGGCAATGAAGGAGTGGCTTCGTAAGAAGCATTTGAAGGTCCTGGAGTGGCCAGCCAGTCTCCAGATCTCAACCCCATAGAAAACCTTTGGAGGGAGTTGAAAGTCCGTGTTGCCCAGCGACAGCCCCAAAACATCACTGCTCTAGAGGAGATCTGCATGGAGGAGGAGATCTGCATGGAGGATGGGCCAACATACCAGCAACAGTGTGTGCCAACCTTGTGAAGACTTACAGGAAACGTTTGACCTCTGTCATTGCCAACAAAGGATATATAACAAAGTATTGACATGAACTTTTGATATTGACCAAATACTTATTTTCCACCATAATTTGCAAATAAATTCTTTCCAAATCAGCCAATGTGATTGTCTGGATTTGTTTTTCTCATTTTGTCTCTCATAGTTGAGGTCTACCTATGATGCCAATTACAGGCCTCTCTCATCTTTTTAAGTGGGAGAACTTGCACAATTGGTGGCTGACTAAATACTTTTTTGCCCCACTGTAGATGTTATTGCTTTTTTTACTTCTACAAATTCTCAATAAAAAAGTTTTTTTTTGAAAAAAAAAAAAATGTTATTCTAACAATTGCTCATACCATATACAGTACATGATTAAATATACATTTTTGTTTTATGTTAATATACATTTATAAAATGTAATAAAAATATTATGAGTAAAAAAAAAAAGATAAGTGCTGATATTGACCCTGGTGAGTGGGAAAGCAAAGAATCTTTGGACATTTTATTATGCACACACTGACATACCTGTGGGGTGCGGTGCAACTCGTACAGACTCAGCTCCCATGTTTTACTGGAGCACTGTGCGCTCACAGGAGTCGCCATCATTGCTAGTCTATGAAAGGAAAGAGATCACATTACACAGAGGTTGCAGTTAGCTACAGTTTTTAAAAAAAAAACCAAAAAAAAAAAACCAAACACAAGCATGTCATTCAAGTGACTGGGTGACAGCTATTTAACCACTTGCCCTTATGAAGGATTTACCCCCCCCCCCCTTCACGACCAGACCATTTTTTTGCTATTTGGCACTGCGCTATTTCAACTGGTAATTGTGTGGTCATGCAACGCTGTACCCACAGTAAATTTATGTCCTTTTTTTTCACATAAATAGAGCTTTCAAGCCTTGTGGCGATCTTTGATCACCACTGGGTTTTTTTATTTTTTGTGATCTGTGTAAAACGAAAAAAAAAAAAAAATGAGAAATTTGGGGAAAAACACAATTTTTTTTTTTACTTTCGGTTATAAAAATATATATAATGAACTCAAAGTTAGTCATAACATTTAAGGCCAGAATGTATTCTGCTACATGTCCTTTGTAAATAAAATCCCACTAACTGTATATTAATTGCTTTGTGTGAAAGTTACAGCGTCTACAAACTATGGTATATACCAGTGAGGGATCGAAACCGCGTTTTGGGCACCCCAGCTAAAAATTTGTATTAATGTTCATAAAGAAGCCCAAGGAAAAGATGGAAAAATCTCCAAAAGGTCATCAAATTACAGATTAGAAACATTCTTATAATATGTCAACAAAATTTAGATTTTATTTCCATCATTTTACACTTTTCAAAAATAACAGAGAAAACAAAAAATGGCGTCTGCAAAAAGTTTGGGCACCCTGCAGATAATTCAAAGCATGCACTGCCCCCTTTGCCAAGCGCGAGAAGGCTGAGACCTGCAGTGTCATGTGAAGATGTGTTCTCGAATCATCGTCTGGAAGACCAGGTGATTCAATCTCAAGGTTTTAAATGCCCAGGACTCATCTGAACCTTGCCCAACAATCAGCACCATGGGTTCTTCTAAAGCAGTTGTCCTAGAAAACTGAAACTGAAAAATAGTTGAACGCTCACAAAGCTGGAGCACAGCTATAAGAAGATAGCAAAGAGTTTTCAGATGTCAATATCCTCTTGTTCAGAATGTAATTAAGAAATGGCTGTACATCAGAGAACAGTGGAAGTTAAAGCAAGATCTGAAGACCAAGAAAAATATCAGACAGAACAGCTCGCAGGATTGTGAGTAAAAACAATTCTGCAAGAAAACCCACGTTTGACTGCACATCCCTCCAGAGTGAAGATCTGGCAGACACTGGAGTAGTGGTACACTATTCCACTATAAAGAGATACTTTGTACAAATAGGTCTTCATGGAAGAGTCATCAGAAGAGTGTATAAACCTCTTTCACGGTTCCTTCCATCAAAAAAAATCATCGTTTGAGACTTTGCAAATGAACATTATAGGACAGGCTCTGAATGCATTTTAGGATAACATGTTCTAGTGAAGATTCCCCGTATGAGGTTAAAATTGAACTTGTTTGGCCAAGAGCATATGGAGCAAGGTATGTTTGGATGAAGAAGGGGCACAGGAATTTAATGAAAATAACCTCTGTCCACTGTTAAGCATGGGGTTTGGATCAATCATGCTTGGGGTAGAGTTGCAGACAGTGGCACAGAACATCTCCCGAATAAAGAAAAAAGATTCAATAAAATTTTGATCCTAAACAACCTTGAAATCCATGAGGGATTTCATCAAGAGGCGTAAACTGAAAATTTTTTCCATGGCCTTTACAATCTCCCCGACCTCAACATAAATTTAAAATCTATGGATAGACCTTAAAAAAGGAGTTCAGG